GGACAAGCTTTTGGCAAATTAAGTTACATTCCTGGTGACTATTTTTCATCCAGCATTTCCTTAGTCTTTCTCTCAGCCTGTTTTGTCACATTTGTTCAATGTTGACCTTTAATTACATACCATGAACTGCAGATATGGGACTCACACTTGATTAGACTGGTATGCCAGGAGCTGTTGTTGGAATATCAACTGATCCAGTGTAGAAGCACACAAAATTTGCATACAGCGCAACCAAAGTTTAGCGAGCACCTCTGTTAATTTTGAAATAAAGCATGAGGAAACAAACAATGCCTACATGATCCCAAAATAAATTAATCAACATTGGCTGCAGGTAATTATGTTCCTCTACAGGACTTGAAAACACTCTCAGACTGAAATTGAATCTTCTGGCTACAGGGAAGGTTTTAAAAGGTGTTGAACTTTTTTAAAAAAAATACAAGTTCTTGACTGCTGTGCTGAACAGGAAAATAGCTTTATACAGTTTTTCAAAAATCTTTTTACATTCATTTAAAATCAGACAATGCGGTGGGAATGGATTAACACTAATTTAAAATGACTTTCTTTATGATAAACGATTTTCGGCTCTATTTATCAAACTTTATTGAGTTACCATTCTTAAGTAAAGCTATTGATCAACAGAATTTTGATAGTTGAATATGGGGAAGTGGCATTGAAGGAGAGGATCATATCGAATGGTAGAGCTGACTCAAGGGGCCAGGTGATCTACTCCAGCTCGTATTTCTTAAGAAATTGTGTCTTTGTATCAAGGAATATGCTATCGAGCAATTTAAAACAAAAGTTTAAAAGGCGGGTGTATCAGTTGAAAGCAGGTTTTGTGCTCATTGTTACACAAATTAGTTTGAATAGAATTCATGGAAGATAAACACTTATCAAACTGGCCACAATTTTATGCCTAAAATGCAAAGCAGACACTCCCCCACTTTGTGTTTAATTAATATATTACCTGATTTATGTTCATTAAAAAAATGCAGTTCTGAAATGTTTTTGTAATGTGCCACGATATATTTCAATAGAGTCATGTGATTGGCATCTAACTGATTTTGTTATTAAAATTAATTTACAATTATTTTCCACTTTTCAAACATTGAAAAGAATTTCAATTTTCCATAGGAACTTGCACATGTAATCTGAGCAAGTGATCTACAAAAGTCGTCAGATAATATAATTGTGATTTAATAATCATTTAACCTTAATTAAGAGTTTGTTATTGTTGGCTTTGCACGAAGTCTACCAAACAAGACTCTGTCTTATTGCTGGGTTGTACAATATTGAGAAATTCTATTAAACAAACTAAGGGATAGCCCCTGCAAATGTGTGCTGGGATCACAATGCATGCTTAACCCACAGATCGCCTATAACTAGCCTGCACCTCTTCAAGGGGAGTTCCATTGTGGCTGGGGTAACTTCTGGCACTTGCTATGAAGTGACTACAAGCTGGAAATTATTCACTTGAGATACAACAAGGGAGACTGTCACCCCCTAGTTTCTGAACAATGGGCGTGTGCATAAGACCATAACAAATGAGGAGTAGGAGTAGGCAATTCAGCCCCTCAAACCTACTCCCTAGTTAATTCAATCATTGTTGATCCCATCTCAGCCTCAACTCCACTTTCCTGCCCACTCACCGTAACCCTTCAACCAATTATTAATTAAAATTCTGTCCACCTCCTCCTTAAATTTATTCCATGACTTAGCACCCACTGCACTTTGCGATCGTGATTTCGAAGGATTGTGGTGGAAAGAAGAACAGATATCCTGCGTAGACATTGGGTCAGGAGGCCTGCAGACACATTGTCAGAAGGCCATCAGAGCAGATAACCATGGAGGTCAGCAAGGAGTCAAGCCCTGAGGACCTGGATGCAGTGGTACAAGAAATTCAATGGCATTGCATACATGCTCAAAGTCAATGTATGCACCTTGAAATGGCGTATGCGTTGGCACCATTGGCTTCAGATACTGCTCAACTGACCACATCCTCATTACTCACCTAGTAACAATCTCCAACAATCAGGACACATACCTGAAGTTCAAACCCTTCAAAACACCATTGTTCACACCACCATCTCAAAACCTCCACATCTCACAACTTGCACATGCTGCCAGGTATTCGACCATGTAGGAGACATTAGCCAAACGGATTGGATGACATTCACTGAAACACTATCCTTTCTCTAACTGGAAGAGGATAGGCATGCTTGCAAAATGTGCAACTAGCTCAGGCAGTGGAGGAAGGCTGTGAGACAGCGCTGATGAACATACACTGTCAGTTAATATCAATCTGTAACCAGCTCGGATACTGACATACCGCAACATTTTGAGAGACAGCAAACGGGTGGGATCCTTCCTGCGTGAGACAGAGGCATGAGTGGGCCTCAGCCAGAAGATGGAGCAAGGATACCATAGGTGCTTGCTCACCACAGGAACAAATAGCCCCATGAACTCTGCTGCAGAGGAATCTGATGAGCATTTTGATGGGTGTACACAAAACAAAAATATTCTTGTTGCATCAGGAAGCCTCCTTGTGTCACTATCAAGGATCCTAGAGTCATACAGTCATAGAGATGTCCAGCACAGAAAACAGACCTTTCGGTCCAACTTCCCCATACCAACCAGATATCCTAAATTAATCAAGTCCCATTTGCCAGCATTTGGCCAATATCCGTCCAAACCTTTCCTATTCATATATCCATCTAGATGCCTTTTAAATGTTGTAATTCTACCCATCTCCACCACTTTCACTAGCAGCTCATTCCATTCCACTCTCTGTGTGAAAAAGTTACCCCTTCGGTCCCTTTTAAATCATCACCTCTCAACTTAAACCTATGCCCTCTAGTTTTGGTTCTCCTGCCCTGGGAAAAAGACCTTGACTATTCACCCTATCCATGCCTCCCATGATTTTAAAACCTCTGTAAGGTCATCCTTCAGCCTCCGACTCTCCAGGGAAAATAGCCCCAGCCTACTTGGAGGCGTCTAGCACTGACATGACACTAGGAAGAACTCAGAGCCCTTCCTTTCCAGCAATGCACCCCTTGGACCTAAACCAAGCAGAGAGAGATATTGAACATGACAACCTGTCTTGCGACACCAGCAACAGTAGCTTGACATTGGAATGCTGCAGTGAAAGCTCAGACTTTAGTCAGGGCAGCTTATAATGCTGCCGTCATGACCGAGGGTTATCGGGTGCAAATGCAGGGCTGCACATCTGTTCAGCAATCTGTCCTCCACCAGGTTACAAAGATTGTACAAAGTGCCCACCCCAGATGGTGACAGTGAAGCCATAGGACCCCAACCCTCTCTTAGGAATCAATTCTATCTCTCCAAAACCAAAAAGCAACAGTTGGAGAAAAGAAAAATCCATGAAAAGACCGATAATCAAAACCATTACGTACAGAGGAAACAGTAAAACTTTGATTACAGTCCAATCAAACAGAAGGAACAGCAATTCATTTATCATTTTTTCACATTGACACTGAATTTACTCAAGAGAGAAAATTAATGGGAGATGTCACAGGTAGGGGTAAGTCTCGTAAATGCCAGCAGGTAGTCACTCTCAATCTAAATGATTGTCTCAGTTTTAAAGGTAAATGGTTGTGTGGTTCCTTCCTCCTGATGGTTGTGCAGTGACCTTTGCTTAGAAGGTGAACTGTGGCCAAGGATGTTGTCGGTTGCAATGACCTCTGACGATAAATAGTCTTGTGACATTTCACTGCCTGGGTTTGTGCATGAAGGGGCTCATTGGAACTTTGAGTTTTCTCCTCCAGCCATAAAAAGCATATTGGAGCATGATTCCCCAAATCTCAGGAGAGAATTGGCCAAGGAAAACTGAAACTTATTGAAGCAATTTGTCCTTCTTAATTGTAACCAAAAAGGGAACGATAAATCTTGTGAGGCTCTATTCTTGACATGAAGCCTCTGAAATATTTATTCTCAATGCTCTACCAGTAGAGAGGCCCAAAGTCATACATGATAATATGGGATCAGGAAAATACCATGAATTTGAAACAATTAAGAAGACGTAAAATCTCCAAGTGAAATATTAATCAGCAAGAATCTGTATTGGAATCATGCCATGTTCAGAGATTTGGGAGTCTCTACTTAGACCCTAACATTATCAAATTAACAAACCAGTCGCTTTGTACTAACAGGGCAACATGCAAATTAGCACAAACAGAATAGTCAATGTATTCTGATAATTGGCACAGTGCAGAGATGCTCCCAGGAAATGCTGAATGCCCAAGTTTCCCATCCATATTGACTGCTATAGGAATCACCCATCAATACCCATAGGCTTGATATTACAAAGCCACTGCTTGAATGTGCTATTGGAATGGTACCTGGCCAAATGGCATCTGTCAATGAAAGGCTGTAGAAATAGAAAAGGAGCAAGGTAACTAAAGGCTAACTTCTTTTTATTCTGTAATTCACAAGTGGCCACATTAAAATGACAGAAATTCAACAAACTTATTGATATATGTCAATGAAAAACCAACTTACCGTACAAGCTGGTTAATTCCTTCTATGTTATTGCTCAATTTAAACTTCTTGACTAAGAACCCAAAGCTTTCAGTTCAAGTTTAGTTGGAACTGCTCTCTGAGTTTTGAATTCAGTGAAACTTTGCCAGGTCATCAAAGAACCTTAAATTTCCTTAGTGTACGCTTCAGATCAGAAGTGTTCAGCAATTAGATGTATTTGTAAGATTTGTCGAGACTAAAGCAATCAAGAACCAGAAAAACGACAAGGCCAAACAAAACTAATCAATGTGGGAAAGAAGCTAACATTTGTTGAATTCAGACCAACTCTTCATCAGTTGCTGATTTACTTCTGGTTCTTTTCCTTTCACACTTAGCACACTAACCTATGCAGTCGTGTTTATACAAGGCACTAGCAGAGCTGACAAACCATAGATGTAATCAACTTCCTGCAACAGTTTCTCAACAATGAGAAGTATTTTAAAAATAAAACTAACATTTTCACTTACCAAATGAGAGAATTAAAGCCAGTGAAATCATAAACCGACTAAAACACTGAGCCATTTTCTTGTCAAATCGAAGCAACTGCCCTTTAAATGTAGATTGTGACCTGTGAGATGTGTAAAGGTTGCAAAAAAAAACTCAAAAGGAAGTAGCAACCACATCCTGTAATGGTGCAAAAGAGCAAACACTTCCTTTTTTGTTGAAACAAAGTGATTTTTTAAAAAAAGAATACCACAACAGCATAAAGCAAAACACATTTTTTGAGTCCTAGTTACCTTCTTTAGAAGGTGATGCTCTACAGTGTTTATCTCATCAAACTAATTTTACAACAAATCCAGTTGTCACTCTACAAATCATCTACTCCCTATGATGAAAAACAATTCATTTCCAAACTGTCCCATTCTGGATTATAGTAGTTCAAAGCTAAAGTCCCTTTGTTAATAAATTAATGTCAACAACATCAACTTGCATTTATATAGCACTCCTAATATGGGCAAACATCCCCGAGCACTTTGCAGAGTTGTAATGAAGGAAATAGATGCAGAGCTAAAGAATGATCTGTTCAGACGTATGATGAAAGGAATTCATTTTAAGGAAGGTGAAGATGAAAGGGAGATGGGGTTGACAGAATGAATGCTTGCAAAATAAGGAGCAAAAATATTGGAAGTTTGCAGATGCCTTTTTCCAGATCATGCTCTTCTCTGATTCCTAGCCTGTCCAAAGAAACAGGTATATATCCCAAAGTTCACGCCAATATTTTATGCATTGCATATGTCATAATCATGTTTAATTGAACCATCTGAGATACCTTGGGTGGATTCTCTGCCACCAATCCTACTTATCGGTTGGTTGAATCCTGCAGACAAGTGGATCGTGGCCTGATTATGTCTCAATGATAGTTCAAGTCAAGTAGATGCTATTTTCCAAAAAAACAAATTGTTCAAGGAAGGTAAAAGCTGAGTCAGAAACAAAGATAGAAATTGCTGGATAAGCTCAGCAGGTCTGGCAGCATCTTTGGAGAGAAATCAGAGTTAACATTTCGAGTCTAGTGACCCTTCCTCAGAACAGAAAAGTTGAGTCACCCTGGTGAACTTCACATATGTGATATTACAATATATTCTGACACAATTTGCGTTGAATCTTGTGTACGGTTTTTAAGATGGATCCTTCTTTCATTCCCCACCAATAACATTTTTGGTAATACCAAGTTTGACCCAGCGAAGGGTGTCACTTAATCTCCTTTTTGTCTCAATTGCATTCCCTCTATCCCTTTGTGTTTATTGTCTAATTTTTATTTATGTTATCTGTGCTGCACTGTTCATAGCCCAAATCAGGATTAATTAATTCCATTTTTATAATATGCGATTTATCACATTAGATTGCATGTATGAATATATTCCAAGACAGAATGCAATGCAATTTCAGTTTGTGTTATTATTCATTATTAAAAAAGGTAATAAACTCCTCCATCACAAACAACTCTTTAATTATTACTGTTTAAGTGCTTCTGAACTCTGAGTTATAATTAAAGGATAATCCTATAGAAAGGTTGTTTGGCTCACTGTGAGTATTTCAGAAGTGTGGCTGACACAGTTGCACTTTATCACAAATTGTACCAAATGTGAGCTTTGCCACAATGTTGTCACCTTGATGTTGCCTCAGAACAGGGATCTACATGAAGTGTTCACAGACTGGAGTGAGTAAATGCACCAGGTTATATTGTCTCTCATCCAACCACTGCCATTGGATTCACTGACCTACATTGGCTTCAAGTCCAGCAACATCTCACCTTGAATTTTCTCACCCATGTGGTCAAATTGCTCCATTGTGGCTTCATTCTTCCTGCGTTGAATGGCACATAATGTAACATTTAATATAGAGGCACATATATGTAGTTAAGCTCTGTGAAGGTAAAAATGACAGAGGTCATTTGGAATAGTAACAGAGTGCATCAAGTCCAAGACAGCATGTGACCAGCATTCTCGCTAAATTTTTTTATTGGCTGTGCAAAATTCCCAGTCCTGTGCACAACAGAGACCTGTGGAACCGGAAGTCAAAGCCATGGTCAGCATTTCAACACTGATCACTATACGTGAAACATCGCTCACTCACTGCTCAGACACACACTGCTTTACATGGGTGCAACTTAAATGGTACATTGCATGTGACTGCAGTCAAGTGCCTGGCCTTTATAGTGTTAATGGATACAGCGATTATTGTTAGACATAAAACCAGTCTGACTCCAAACCAAAACGCAAACAGATTCTAAACAACGCCTAACACGCAGTGTCTGACCTAAAATGTCACCTCTTCTTTACACTGATAAAACATTTAGTTCTCTCAGTGCAGTGACTTGAAAGAAATCCGGGGATTTACATATACATATTAATCATTTAAAACCTTTTAAGTCATTAAAAATTTAACAACATCTTAGGTTTGTATAATACATCCTCATCAGTTGTGTGACCCTTTGATCTTTTACTTATAAATTCTGTGTCTGATGTCACCTCTCTCACTTACACCTGAAGAAGGAGCGAGGCTCCAAAAGCTTGTGTTTTCAAATAAATCTGTTGGACTATAACCTGGTGTCGTGTGATTTCTGACATTGCATTCATACTGTTGAGAGATTGAATAGACTGGGACTATATTCATTGGAATTTAGAAGAATGAGGCAAAATCTTATGGAAGCATATAAAATTATGAAGGGAATAGATAGGATGGAAGCAGGGAAGTTGTTTCCACTGGTGGGTGAAATTAGAACTAGGGGGCATAGCCTCAAAATAAGGGGGAGCAGATTTAGGACTGAGTTGAGGAGAAACCTTTTCACCCAAAGAGTTGTGAATTTGTGGAATTTCCTACCCAGTGAAACAGTCAGGGCCACCTCATTGAACATTTCAAAGACAAAGATAGCTGGATTTTGAACAGTAAAGGAATTAAAGGTTACAGTGAACAGGTGGGTAAGCAGAGCTGCGTCCATGAAAAGATCAGCCATAATCTTATTGAATGGTAGAGCAGACTCAAGGGGCCAGATGGCCTATTCCTGCTCCTATTTCTTACGTTCTTATGAGATTATGATAGATAGGTCAAGGCTGTTACTCTAAATTTAACTTCAGAACACAAGGGTCATTGTCTTCGTTGATGAAAGTCAAAAGTTGCATTCAGAATCAAGTTTTAGTTTTGTCCTGGCAGGAGATTTGGCTGAAAGAGGAACAGGACTGACAGCTGAATTTAAATGTTTCAAGTGTGATAGAAAGGGATGTAAATGGGATGGGGGAATTGCAATACTGGTAAAGGAATATCTCCCTGCTGTACTGAGGGGGATACATCAGAGGACTTGTGCAGCGAGGCAATATGGGTAGAACTCAGGAATAGGAAAGGTGAAATCACAATGCTGGGGGTATACTACAGGCCTCCCAACAGCCAGTGGGAGATAGAGAGAATATATAGGCAGATTTTAGAAAGATGTAAAAACAGCAGGGTTGTCGTGGTGGGTGATTTTAACTTCCCCTATATTGACTGGGATTCACTTTATGCTAGGAGTTTGCATGGGGCTGAATTTGTAAAGACCATTCAGGAGGGTTTCTTGAAACAGTATGTAAACAGTCCAACCAGGGAAGGGATTATACTGGACCTGGTTTTGGGAAATGAGCCTGGCCAGGTGAGTGAAGTTTCAGTGGGGGAGCATTTCAGCAGTGACCACAATACCATGAGTTTTAAGTTACTCATGGATAGGGATAACTGCAGGCCTTGGGTGAAGGTGTTAAACTGGGGAAAGGTGAACTACAACAATATTAGACAGAAACTGGAGAAATTTGATTGGAGGTCACTGTTAGAGTGTAAATCCACATCGGACATGTGGGAGTATTTCAAACAGCAGTTGACAATAGTTCAGGAGCGGCACGTTCCTGTGAGAATGAAGGTTAGATATGGCAAGTTAAGTGAACTTTGGATGACCAGGAGTGTTATGATCTTGGTCAAAAAGAACAAGAAAGCATATGTAAGGTCTAGGAGTATGGGAACTGACAAAGCCCTTGAAGTATATAAGGAAAGTAAGAAGGAACTTAAACAAGGAATTGGAAGAGCTAAAAGGGGTCATGAAAAGTCATTAGCAAACAGATTAAAGAGAATCCCAAGGCTTTTAATACACATATAAAAATCAAGAGGGTAGCCAGATAAAGGGTTGGCCCACTTAAGGACAAAGGAAGAAATCTATGTGTGGAGCCAGAAGAGGTAGGTGAGGTCCTAAATGAATACTTTGTGTTGGTATCCAGCAAAGTGAAAGAATTAGTGGAGGATAATCTCAGGGAAGGGTGTGTCAAATTTCTCAGCCAAGTTGCTATTAAAAAGACAGAGGTGTTGTGTGTCTTAAAATGTATTAAGGGAGATAAGTTCCTTGGTCCTGATGGGATCTATCCCAGAATACTGAGGGAGGGAAGAGAACAAATTGCTGGAGCATTGACAGACAACTTTGTATCCTCTTTGGCTGAGGACTGGAGAATAGCCAATGTTGTCCCATTGTTTAGGAAGGATAGCAGGGATAGTCCAGGAAATTACAGGCCTGTGAGCCTCACATCAGTGGTAGGGAAATTACTGGAAAAGATTCTCAGAGACAAGATCTATATGCATTAAGAAACAAATCAACTTATTAGTAATGGACAGCATGGTTTTGTGCGGGGGAGGTTGTGTCTCACTAACTTGATCGAGTTTTTTAAGGAGGTGACAAAGATGATTGATGAGGGAAAAGCAGTTGATGTTGTCTACATGGACTTCAGTGAAGCCTTTGACAAGGTCCCTCATGGTACAAAACGTGAAGTCACATGGTATCAGGGGTGAGCTGGCAAGATGGATACACAAATGACTTGGTCACAGGAGACAAAGGGTAGCAGTGGAAGGATGCTTTTTGGAATGGAGGGTTATGAGTTGTGCTGTTCCACAGGGATCAGTGCTGAGACATTGGAAGAATAAAAACTCTAGAATATGGAAGAGCTACTAGTTTTAGGGAACAAACAAAAGGACAGCAAAGTAACAAAGGACAAAAACTAGAACTTATGTCTGAGTTGCAATAGGTTTACTGGAGGAATTTCCGCTGTGAGGGCTGCTGCATTTTCTCATTTTTCTCACTGTACCTC